CGTGCCTCATCATCGGTGTGGCTTTAGGTTTGCTTTTTGAGTGGATGTGTGGTGGTGACATCCTGTGTGGTTTTTGTGAGTGTGGGTCTGGTATCATTTTTTGTGTTAGGGAGTCGTTTGTCAATAAGGGCGGGTTTCCAAATGGCTGGTAGGCGGGAGGTATCATCTCGCTTGTTCATGCTGTGTGGGCGTTTTTCTATCTCGATGGCTTCTCTGATTATTCTGTTATTAAAATGTTCACTTTTGGCAATGGTTCTGGTATTTTTAAAGTCAATTTCATGTCCTGTGGCTTTAAGGTGTTGGACCAGGGAGGATGTTGGTTCCTCTTTTTTGACTGAGTTCTTATGTTATATATATATATATATATATATATATATATATATATATATATATATATATGCCTTTCTAATATAGGTAGCAATAAATTATTGCTTTAGTCAACAATATTCTATAATATAGAATATTACAATATTATATAGATAATATCTAACATTTGATTATAAATTATAATTAATATATAGAATATTATATATATTAGATGTTCCAGAATTTTAATGACTGTAACAATAAATAAATATCCTATTATATGTTCTCCCAATCTTCTTTTCCTTTTCTTAAAATTTTTTCACAAATAAAATCTATCAAAATAGGTATTTTGAATTTTCACGGTTGTATTCCCTTGGGTTTGCTGTCATTCTTCTTCATCCTTTCCATGATTAGACATAACAAGTCAGCATAAGTGACAATTTATTCCTTTGATATCTTGGATTTTTCTGAAAACTTTTTTGTCTTCCACTCCAGGTCCTCTTTCATCTCTTTTTAAAGTAATTGACCACAAAACAACAAATCTCTGCCTGAAGGCTAGCACTCTCCCTTTTTCTGGCTGAGTTCAGTTGACGGGCTGACATGGAGATAATCAGTTCTTCAAGAAGAAAGGCACAGAAAGATTCTGATTCAAATTCCCAATCAGAGCAGTGTGCTATGGTTCTGTTATGTGGCAACTGAAGAAAAGGATGCAGAAAGGGAGTGAAAGTAGCCATGTTGATTTTGTTCCATTACTGTTCAGGCCCAATTAATTTGTGAATGAAGGTATGGAAGGGAATGGAGGAGAGGATAGAAATAATTTACTATGGGAAGGAGGGAGTTATGGTTTGTTTTGTTTTAGTTTAGAGTAAGCTCAGAGAACCTAATCCAAATCAGAACTTAGCATATGGCTTTAGCTTACCTGCTTCCTTCGCTGCAGCCCTGTACCAATCCTTGGGTTTGCCATTTATGATTACAAGAATTAATCCATTTTTTTTTTCAGCCTAAAACCACCATAAGACTAGAGTGAAATACAAACTTTTGGATTTAGTGGAACATAGTAGAAATGCTTCTGCTGCTCTGTAAATAATATCAGTTGTATACTTATTTTAATTTGGTTTCCCAAAGTGGTTGCAATTGTATGGCTTTTATTTGGGGGGGGGAGCCCATTGCATTGGCTGTTTACTACTTCCTTGATTTGGAAACAGAACAAAGTTGCCTTTTGTCACTCATTCTTCCCTGTGATTTATGTGATATTACTTTATAGTCTCATAAAGAAAATAAGCCTGTTTTATTTGATGTTACATTCTAAGCTCTCTCCACCAAGCAGAATAATTTAGAACAAATAATAGGTATAGATTTTGGCTATTTTGATGAGATTTTCTTCCTTGAAAACTAGAATTTTGATTAGAGAAACATTTGAGTTGCATAGGATTATATTCAAATATATAACTCATGAAAATGGAAAATAATAACATGTTAAAATGTTTTCAAATAGGGATGCATTATATTTGAAAAGATTGCACTAAGTTCAGAATTAAGTTGTATTCTATTTAGAAAACAAAATACAAATTTCTAAAAATGGAGAATACGTAAGCATAATTAATTATTTCCAAATGATCGTCAGAACATAAATCCTATTTTTCCTGCATGTGATTACATCAGTTACATTGTTTACTTTATTTAGCTTGAGATTTTAAAGTAAACAATTTAATATTAGTGTGTGAAATGTTTAACAGCATAATATGAAACATATTATATAATTTACTATTAAGGCAGGTATTAAGCTTCTAAAAACATAACTATTTCTACAAGAGTATCTAATGAATGGTTTCTGAGACTGTGCAGGGATCTGAATGTGAATGGTAAAATATAAGTTTGAGTGTACATGGATTTGCATGTAATAGCTGTCATGAATAACAAGCTTTCTGCGGTTGATATACAAGCTTAGAAAAAAAAATCCTTGGTTTAATATGTTCCTGAAATGGCTACAAATGCCATCCGTATTGCCTTTCAAATCTAGTTAATTTCAAAACTCCAATTCATACACACACACTAAGCTTAATAATAATATAATCCTGTATTGGAAATAGTAACAACAATTATTTTACTGAATGTCTTCACATTTTCATTAACATACTCTTTCTAGCTTAAGGTAGGTGTAGTAATAGACTAAGACCTTCATATGACTCCTTGCAACTTACCTTCATTGTCTAATGATATGCAGCCCATGACTGGTAATACTGTACATAAATATTGTAAATAAATCATATTTGTTGCTTTGATAGGACATCAGGATCCAAGATATCCATTAATGTATTTTTCATCTCACAGGTCATCAATCATATCAGAGAAACGTGGTAGCAAATTGCTGATTTTCAGCATATTTAATCTTTTAAAAAATAATCCAAGGCTTAAAATAGATGCATTGAGTCTTTGATAGACATAAAATAGCTATTTTGAGTAGAAGTAATCATCCAAAAAGCAGAATAAAATGGCTTTGTCTCTTCTATCGCATCATCACATCCCTGCTTATACCCTCTGGGGCATTCAGAAGCCATAAAAAGATTGTTTATCTTTGCATTTGGAATTGGACATCAGCCTACATAACGAACAAAAACTGTCTGAAACGAGAAAATTCCATTCCTTTGGATTCTTACATTTCCTGATATTGTTATGCCTTCTTTCAGGATTTCAGGAATAAACATGCTTTAAAATTCTCCTCTGAACACACATTCACTCCATTATCTAAAAAAGATAGAAAACAGACTGCATGAATATAAAAAGCAAATTAATAGAAATAGATCTAAAATGACCTATTGTTTATTATGAATATTTATGGAACTGTAATGGAAATAGAAGTGAAAAGAAGTTTTGAAATGTGTGACACTGAATGTGTGACAATGTGGTGTCAAGAGTGGATGTGGAAAAAAATGGATCTGGGAGAAAAGGAAGCAAGAGAAAGAAATGAGAATGAAAATGGAATTACTGGAAAACAAATTTCAAATCCTATGTGAAAAAATATCAGATGATATATTAGTTTCCCAAAACAGTGAACAGAAAGCAGATATTTAAAATTTAGAAAGAGGATGGTGCTAGATGAAAGTAAAAAAAAAATGTTGCTGAATGCCACAGAAGTATAGGGATGCTAATGGAAATATGGAAAATAATTCTGGCAGGAATAATGAAATGAAAAGTTATGGATGAAATACTTCTTCCATCATTCCCTGTCTTAAATGTCATCCCACTTTTTATCAGTATAATATTTAATTCCATTTGTGCCATTTGTGTTCTTCAATTTAAAGTCTCTTTAACCCAGTGTTTCTCAACCTTGACAATTTTAAGGCATGTGGACTTCAACTCCCAGAATTCCACAGCCAGCAATACCCAATCTGTTCCTTGGTCTGTTTTTAACTGTATTTGTTGCCAGTAATCATTGTTTTCTATACACATAATGTATAGAACAAAATATTTGTTTTTAATCCATTCTTATTTATGTAGTAATTCTATTTCTATATTTTACCATCCAGAGTTTTTTGCTTCTTTACCTTTCCTTCCTTCCTTCCTTCCTTCCTTCCTTCCTTCCTTCCTTCCTTCCTTCCTTCCTTCCTTCCTTCCTCCCTCCCTCCCTCCCTCCCTCCCTCCCTCGTTCTCTCTGTCATAACGCATACAACCAAATAAAGCAAGAATTTTTAAAATCATTATCATTAACAAATATTTGAAAATATTTATAAACTATAAACAAGTCTATTAGATGGAAGGATGTTAATAGTAATGGAGCCGCCCCACTAATCCATCTCTCCCCTAATGTCCCTGGGTCTGCCATAACCACATCTTGAGGGATCCATACTTCAGAAGGGAGGAGATTCCACAGCCCAAGGGCCACGGCAGAAAAGACCCACCACCTAGGAACCACCAATTATAGCTCCCTAGATAATGGAATCTGTAACATTCCTATTCTGTGAGAACTGGTGGAATGGGAAGGTGAAATCAGAGAAAGGTGGTCTCTCAAATAACCCAGTCCCATGTCATTAGGGCTCTAAAGGTTAATACTAGCATGTTGATTTGGACCTGGAATCAAATTGATAACATTGCAGCTTGCACAGCAGAATGCGATTCTTCTATTGGAAGAAGAATTCTTTATTGGGCTGCCTTTGAAGAGTGTCTGGAAATTTTAGCTGTGACAAATGCAGCCACATGAGCCGTTTTGTATGTTTGTTACAGAGCACATATTATATATGATATAACATGTGCTCTATGACAAACACACAAAACGGGTCATACTATTGCAGTTGGCACAACTAAAATTTCCAGACACTCTTCAAGGGCAGCCCAGTGAAGAATCAAACTCCAATAGTTCAACTGGGAATTTGTTGGGCCATGAGTGACCATGAGCAGGGACTCTAGATCCAGGAACATGCACAACGGTGCACAATATGAAGTTGTGCAAAGGCTTTCCTAGCCGTGGTTACTGCCTGAAGGTGTTATGAGTCTAGGAGGAGCCCCAGATTGTGCATATTGTTTGTGGGGCAGTGTAGCCCAATCCAGCACCAGAAATGGGATAGTCCTAGAACCAGAAGAACCAAAACCCAAAGCCATTAGTCTTTCTAATCAACTGTCAGAGACAATTGGAATAAGATTCCCAGATGTGATTTGGCTAGTGCAGTCATAAATAAAATTGGGTACATTAAATATTATACACTTGTGTGTGTTTGTGTGCGTATGTGTTTGTATCTGTGCGTTATTTTTTTTTTTTTTTTGGTTAATACCTTACATCTAGTATGTGCTTAATAAAAAATGTTCATTATATTTCAAAATTTGTAACTATATGACACTTAAAATATATTTATTATTTCAGGTTGTCCAGAAAGTGGATTTTGCTTTTACGGCTTTCATTTTGGTGAGTTTTTCATATTTTTTTAAATTATAATGAGTTTAAATACCACACTGAATCAATTTGTTCCTGTTTCCCCGTTTGAAAGAAACTGATTTCATTTAACTTTTGTTCTTAAAAATTCTCAGGCTTAAATGATTAAGATAGAAATAGGACTTATATTTTGTATTCCATTAAGATACCATTAATGTATAAACAGTGACAAAGAATAATTGGTTTGTAAATTATTGTTTAAAAGATTTTGCTAGTGATTTAGCAAATCTCTGAACCCTTAGCATACAAATACTTAAAGAGTTTGAATTTATTTAAGGACTTTCAAAAATCAAGGACTAGCAAAAGCTTTAGGTGACTTTTTCTGGAATTTGAACTGCTTCATTAAAAAAAAAAATCAAGTGCTTTTTGCCCAAAGTGTTACATGTTAAATGAAACCAGCATATATAAATGTGTCATCTTCACTTCTTGCAATTTACTGGCATATTCTGTAACATGAGATGTGGATATGGAAGGGAAGGAAAAAATTGTTGGCACTGAAGTTGTTAAATTAACAATACCTATTCCACCTGCCATGTGTGTCAGAACCTACTGTCGGTATATTTTTTTGCAAAATATCAAGTACTAGTTAAGTAAAGGAAAACATTTCTTGTCTCAAGGTATATGACACTATCTTTGACTTTGCTTGATAAGTTTGAAATGTCTTTTAAAATTTTATTTGGAGCAGTACCACTTATTTTGAACCATTTGTTGCACTGTATAATTTATTTTGTAGAAAGAAAAATAATATTCCTAACATTTATTTTTGAAAAAAGAAATCAGGATGCAATATTAATAATAATGTTTTCAGTTTTGTCTCTCCTTTTTTGTGCTTATAACAATTTTGGAAACCTGTTGTCAAAAAAAAAAATTCTCTTGCTTTATTAAGAAATATATTGCATTCTAAGAGAACTTATCTGATGTACAAATTGTACACTATTAAAATAAAAATTGAAACATGGTTTATTTGTTTATTTGTTTGCTTGTTTGTTGTTTGTTTATAAATTTTATTGGCTGCCCATCCTACCACAGGTAACTCTTACAATTATAGGTTTTCAGATGGAAAACAATATATACTCTTCAGAATGTATTATAGTTTGAATTTATAATATAAAGTTGAACCAAATTTTATCAGTGTGACATTTTAAAAAGTGAAATGGTAATAAAAATGTGAATTTAATTTCATTGTTTCAAAATTACATTTAAAAGTTTTTTTAAAAAAAAATCAAATGTCTTTGGTAAGACAATCTTCCAAAAGCTAGTGCTTTGAGCTATTGGTAGTCTTCTTCTATATTATTTCTACATTTAGGCAAGAAAAACCAAATGCACAAGTACAGCATAGGTGGCACCATGCTCAATAGTAGTAACTGTGAGAGGGACCTCGGAGTCCTAGTAGACAATCAGTTAAATATGAGCCAGCAGTGTGCGGCAGCTGCCAAAAAGGCCAACACAGTACTAGGCTGCATTAACAGAGGGATAGAATCAAGATCACGCGAAGTATTAATACCACTCTTCAATGCCTTGGTAAGGCCACACTTGGAATACTGCATCCAGTTTTGGTCACCACGATGTAAAAAAGATGTTGAGACTCTAGAAAGAGTACAGAAAAGAGCAACAAAGATGATTAGGGGACTGGAGGCTAAAACATATAAGGAACGGTTGCTAGAATTGGGTATGTCTAGTTTAACGAAGAGAAGGACAAGGGGGGACATGATAGCAGTATTCCAATATCTCAGGGGCTGCCATAAAGAAGAGGGAATTAAGCTATTTTCCAAAGCACCTGAAGGCAGGACAAGAAGCAACGGGTGGAAACTAATCAAGGAGAGAAGCAACCTAGAACTAAGGAGAAACTTCCTGACAGTGAGAACAATTAATCAGTGGAACAGCTTGCCTCCAGAAGCAGTAAATGCTCCAACACTGGAAGTTTTTAAGAAGAGACTGGACAGCCATTTGTCCGAAATGGTGTAGGGTTTCCTGCCCGAGCAGGGGGTTGGACTAGATGACCTCCAAGGTCCCTTCCAACTTTACTATTATTATTATTATTATTATTTCAAGAATTTATCTTTTTTAAAAAAAACACCTTATCGTGTATACATAAATATTCATATGACACAGTATTTTAATTTCTAGCTGCAGTAGATTAAGTAGTTTGAATGTATGACTTTGTAACTCAGTAAAGTTTAACTTTCCTCTTGTTAGGAAATAATTCAGATTTCCTTATAAGTGGTAACCTGAAATCAGAGTATTAAATAAAGATTATAACCTTTGGGAACTTGCAATACTATACAGTATATGAGATAAATTGAAAGGGGAAAAGAAACCTTGACAGTAGGCCTAATAGAGGAGAGTAGATAAAGTAGGTGTAAATTGAGTTGTAATAAATTAGTAATATGGCTGGAAAAAAACTGATCAGAAATTGAATAGCAAGGCTGGCAGGACTGTATCATACTTTGGATTCAAAGACAAAGAAGTGCTTCAGAATATGCAGGAGTATGAGTGTAACACTTGTCTGTAGGTCCTTAAAGCAAAAATGTATTTTTCTGGTCTTTGAATGTATTAAAGTACAATACTAGGAAATGTTGTAATTTAAAAAGTTGGAGGAAGCTTCTACATGTGCATCCAGACATGTTCAAAGCACTTTTTTTGCCTTCAACTCCAAAGCGCTGCATATTTCCAATCAACAATATTGATAATGGGAAAAAGGTTTTTAAAAATATACTGAGGCATAATGTGTTGTGCACTCTGTAAAAATGTATATACAACAAGATTTAAATTCTTTTGCTAATCTTTCAAAAAGTAGATGGATGTTTGCATTTGATGCAATTCTATTAGCATAAAATTGTAAACATAGAGAATACTCTTATGAAAAGATATGGAATCTCTTATCTATTAATACTTTTAATTCATAAGGCCCAGTATGCAAATGCAGCAAAATTAAACACGGGTACGTAGAAGGAAGTAATCATCTTATTGCACTTCTTGTTCTGAGTTTAAGATCTCTGCTTTCATGGACCATCCTAATGGATCATTTAAAGAAGGGGAACACTTACAAGCCGGATTTTCTGAAGGAAAGGAGAAGTCATATGGTTTTCATTTATATCTCAGCAAAGCAGTTAAACATTCCTGCTGCCATTTGAAATGGGAATAGGTCAGTCAATGGGATCAGAGGTTTAGTCTTCCGAGCTTTCGGACTATTCTTTGTGTGGCATTTATGTGGTGCCTGATTGGTGTGGCTTCTTATGGTTTGACTGGGGTGTTTGATGGCCAGTTATTAAGTCATTGGCTGTTGTTTCCCTGTATTGCCAAGTCCTTGGCTCCTAAGTACCCAGTGAATCAGCACTCCTGTTGACTGACAAGGAGCCCATGTCTCAGGCTTCAATCATTTATTAATGTATTTATTCATTTGTTCATTCATTCAGTATATACCGGCATATAAGATGACCCCTGACTTTGGAGAAGATTTGTATGGTTTAGAAAGTCGTCTTATACGCCAGAAAATACGGTAGTCCACTTTTCCATTTGTAGAATGTGTAAGGAGCTTAATGTTTTTATTTACAGAATTTTTTATGGTTTCCCTATGATTCCTCTGTAGTTTTCCGGACAGCTAGCTAATTAGTGTTATGTGAACTGAATATTATATAACATGCAGTGTTGAGGAGGAAGTCTGCTGTGTATGCAGACTGCAAGCACACATGCATTTATGCATTTATATGGCTGCCAACTCAAACAATGGGATGTTGGCTGGCGTACAAAAGGAAAAAAAAAACTCTAAGTAATTAATATGAAATAATGAAAATTTGTATTTTGCCCCCCTAGTATGACTATATATAATCCAATGCTTAGGTTATGTGTTGACAGGATCACCTATTTTGATTCCAAAACAAACCTTTAGAAGAATGAATGTTTATTCAACTATGTTCTGTGTGCAAAAAAGTGGCATGTTATCCAGATTACAGCTGCTTGTAAATATTGATAAAATCAATAAGCAAAATTGTTTCAGATTATCTAGTTGAAATATTTATCATAATATCTATCCATCAGCTCCAAATAAATCAGTGGATAAAAGAAGAAAATGCAAGAAACTTTCAAATAAAAATATCTACAGAATTTCACAAATGATACATCATAAAATACTTCCTAATGGATTAGTTAACGACGTGGATAGCAAGCTACACATTAAATTCCTTTTACCTTTTCCACTTTTGAGACAAAGTGATTTAAGACTTTCATTCCAACCCCCTCCAGAAGGATTATAAATTGCCATCCTCTGTTACAGGGCAATATATATATCATGTAAATACAGTGTATAGTATGCAATTCAAATGCAGTGTATATTCACACACAGAGAGAGACAAAAAAAAAGTTGCAGTAAGAGTAGCATACCCCCTAAGAAAATCCTTTCAACCTCTTACAAGATCAATACATTTATTTAGCCTAATGTCTGGTAAGAACCATAGGGGGCACTTGGAGTCAATCTGATTGAAATAAAACAAAGAGCTGAAATCAAAGTCACAGCTTTCACACTAGTAGCCATGCAATTACAGAACTTTCCAATTTCAGTTTCTATCTCAGATTCACTCAATGAACAGTACTGCTTGAAGAACACGAGACCTCCTATGGTTCCTCTTCTTGAAATCCCAACAGATGCTAGTCTGACGAAGATGTAAATATAAGCTAACCCTTCTTACTATTTCTAAAACCGTGTTGTTATATCTTCTGGGATGGAATATAACAAGTATAATATATTCTTGAATATTATTCAACACTTCCACAGGAGACAAATCATGAAATGTAGTAGCAATGCAAATCCAGCCCCTTTCCTACTTTTATTATGTTATCACATGCAAGTATGTAAGAAATGGAGTTTGGAGTTTGTGTCACCATATATTATATCACTGATAAAGTCACATGTTAGTTTTTAAAGAGATCTGTACGAATAAAGCATGTTCTTTTTAAAATAATAGATTAAGGATTCT